CTAGGGGTGCTGGTAAGAGCAGACACCACTAGCATTCCCGGGGAGGCTCCGTCTATTGGTGGGGAGCAGCAACTGCTGGAAAGCGGGTCCAGCGTCCCTGTAACATTCTGGACTTTCGGGGATTTGATGCCGGATTTCAGGGGTCTGCAGCATGAATCCTTTCAAAGTGCTCTCACAGGGAAACTCTGGCAACGTGTATGATTCTTTTTGTCGTTGTCAGGAATTATGTATGAATGTCATCCTCTTGAAGCAATCGTGTGATAACACCGATAAGGCAGTTACTTGTTGTTTTTTTTTTCTTCTTTTTCATGCGGAAAATGACCTCCGCTTCTGTAATAGTATCCCAAAAATCATGAAAAATGCAACATCACCTGTGCAGTGATTCAAATGGTGAAATGGTTCGATTCTGGTACCAAAAATTGAATAAATAGCAAACTCCAGTTTCTTTTCTTCAGGAATTTTAGAGTGCTATCTTTCTCGAGGAGTGATTCTGTATGAAGCAGTGAGAGGTTGATTCTCTGTGATATCATCCAGATACGGCTTCTTGGTGGCATTCATATAAGGACATAAACAGTGGCATTCCCCTTGTCCTTTTTGACCTACACTTTGATGATGTCGGTGCTGTCGAGAAGCCCGACAAGCAGGTTGCTCGAGAGGTTTGCTGCCGGGTTTTAAACCGCCAGTACTTGGCCCAGCTATCGCCCGCGGGAAAAAAATAGAGTAGAAAGTTACTAGAAACGTTTCTAGTCGGATGAATTTGCGCACTCCTGTAGGGGCTCGTATGTTTGCGAAAGTCGCGGCTTGTTTATGGGCACGATGTTAGGAAGTACTGGTGGTTTAAACCACCACTACCTCTACCAGGCAAATTTTTGCGACAAATTTGTCTATTGCTGCATTCTTCGGGGGCTTGGCTCCTGAACCTTTTGGCTGGCACCACTGAGCCTGGTGGACTCGCATTGCACGCCAAGCTCTGCAGAACCGCCAGCGGCACTTTTTTTCTTTTTCGGCGGCAGCGATTGTGGTCTGGTAGCCCCGCGCCTGCAAACTCTTAGGACTGAGCCATTCGTTTTCTCAAGTTGCCTGGGTTTAAACCGCTAGTACACGGTCCCAGCCTCGCAGAGAAGAAACTCGTCCCCTACTCTGAAAAGGCGGCACGGTGTTGATAGTTTTCATCAATGGCTGGTGTCGTGTTTTGGGTCTCTGAAACTCACGGTGAGGGACCTGCGCCCGATGTATGGCCGTGTACTGGGGTTTTAAGGGGACAGTTGTCGAATTGGTAAATTGTTAAATGAAGTAACTGAGGGAGTACCATGTTCAGGGTAAGGAGAAGAATCGCAGGGCTATATATAGAGAGAGAGAGCACTTTGCCAAACAAACGATAAAAATACTGAAGACAAACAAACATGAAGAGCACACTGAAACCATTCTTTTTATCATTTCTTCGTCCTCGCAAGAAATTTGTGGTATGGGATGGTAATTCCCGCATTTCTGTCAAGCGAAGGCATAGGCTACGAGGCAGTGGCGGTGATGGTGATCACGGCGATGACGATGAAGTTGATGTTGATTAATGGTTGAATGTGGTGGTGATGCTGGAAGTGTTGACAAACATAACGGGACGGACAAAGCCGTGAGCATTGTCTACGATCTTCCCTGTAGCGTGCGACATTACACCTGCCGACAGCAGCACTAAGGTTATAACTTATGAGTCTATGACCAGATTTCCCACCCACCGCAGGGGGGTGGGGGTGGATTAGAAGGGACACAGATCAGACAAGGGGAAAAAGTTCCGAAAAACACAGCAGCGAAGGACACTGCTTGTGGCTCATCTAGCTTTACAGGTAGAGCGGCGCTACAGTCCTCACCGGACAAAAACCATGTCAAACAGACAAGGGAAAAAAGACACAGCACTGTGACAGCAGCAAGGAAGTGGATGACGCCTTGTCTAATGTTACAAGTGCCACCAACCAGGACACACCCGGATTGTTGTCTAACGCGATAGATGCTGCTGTTAGACTGATTTATCGATCAACTAATAACTAGTCAGTTTCTGAGATCACCTGCTTGTTTTACGCAGTCAGCAAATGAGCCGACCAATCAACCAATCAATCAACCAATCAATCAACCAATCAACCAACCAAGCAGGTGATCCATTCATCAATCAATCAAGCTATCATCAACATTGCAACAGCGAAGAGATGTGGAGGAGATGGTGCTACATCTGTGAAGGCAATGGCCAGATGGTAAAATGTGGATGACATCCATGAGCAGGCCGCCTTGAAAACACGACCAGGGAATGAATCCTCAATAGAGAAAATGAAATAACACTGCTGCTGCTGCCATTGTTGTCGGCATTTACTACCCACAGCTGCTTGGTTTGCTGCATTGGTGTTCAAGTTCATTCTTCAGCAAACTGCACTCACGCGACAAAGACCTGCAGTGAGTTCAGAATCTTGCTGAAGTCTTGGGACCAACACGGGACCATAGTAATACATCTCAGTAGTTTCTAGATTCTGGCTGGAGTCTTGGGACCAACACGGGACGTTGGGGAGGGTCCTTGGGCCGATTCGTTGTTGCTGGGAGATCTTGATGTGCCAGGACGACCATCAACAACACGCTGAGAAGAGTGTTCCATACTTGGCGAGTTGCTAGAGTTAAGTGGCGCGTTCGGTGAGGAAGGAGCAACAGCATTCTCAAACATAGAATGGGTGGTACTTAAGGAACCCCCTACGGCAGCTCCTTTGTTAACTGGCTGGACCAAGGTGCGGTCAATACTGGCAATCACGTGCGACATCCGTTTCATGAGCGACGGAGTTTGCAGCACGATGCTTGGTATGATCGAAGCTTGTCGAGAACTTGGCTGGCGGGGCATAATGGTTGGCAAGGACATGTACAAGGGATCAGCAACTGAAGGTCGGTGTAGCCCGGCATACAACGGAACGACGTCTCTGATGGAGCTGGTCTTCCGCTGTGCCATGGGAGATGGTTCGCTATCCACTCCGTCCTCAGTTGATGGTCTTCGCACCGAGCCCTGGGAGATGCTAGCACGTGACTCCTTTCTGGAATAAGAGGAAGGAAGGGGGGAAGAAACACGAGCAGCAGCAGCGGCAGCAGGATGAGGAGGATGAGGCGGAGGAGGAGAAGAAGAAGATGGTGTTTGCCCCTTTGCAGAACTGCTCCCAGGGAAGGGAGCATGATGTTCTTTGCCGCCACTGGGCGTTACGTGAGCAAGAGGATGTCTAGCATCTGGGGAGGAAACCCGCCGTGCATTCCCTATGTTTCGTATGTCAGGCAAACTATGGCGTGGCTCTTGGGGTAGTATCCCTTCGGTTATTAGGATAGGTGGCAATGACCTGAATCGACCAGCACGTCCGTGTCCTGGGGACGTGCCCTCGTTTCTCAATAGGAAAGGACTGATAGAGCAGGCGAGGATGTTGTCCACCAAGTTGATGGCCTCAACGAGTGAACCCCTCCGTCGCAGGAGCTCCTTGTCGCTTGGCTCTGCCTTCAGCTGCTCATCTATGCGAGAGAGTGTCTGGACATAAGCCTTTCGTCTTGCTTCCATTGTCACGCCGTGTTGTGTCATACGTCTGTGCATCAACTTTGCCCTGCGCTCACGTTCGTATTTGCTTCTTCGACGTTTGTCCCATACAGCATACCCAACTGCTGACCCCAGTAAAATTACCACCATAATCGGCACAACGGTGAGCAAGATCAACAACTGCCTCTTGCTGCTGTTGCTGGAGTTTTGATCTGCAAAGACAAGCAGACACCATTGACAAGGCAAGTGAGTGCAACCCTGCCCCCCCCCCCCCAACCCAGAGAGCGGGGCAGGTAGGGAGAGAGGGACGGAGAAAAAGATAAACAGTGAAGGGAATAAGTTTATACGAAGTGTTCCTAGCTTGTACGAAGTACACCAAACTTATGTGATGTACGACGCATGCCGAATTTATATGAAGCACGTGATAAAATTTTGAAAAAAACTCAGGAGTGTAGGGGAGGTTCTTCTGTACTGGGGAAAAGAATAGAAAACAGTAAAATGCATTTTAGGAAATGCAAATGAAAGTAAAAGAGCGCACTTTATGAAACAAACGGCAAAACTACAGATGGGAAACATGAAGAGCACACTGAAGCCATTCTTTTGATCATTGTGCTTTTAGCTTCCCCTTCACTGTGCCTCTCACGAACAAGGCTCGCCACTTTGATGACGTTGAGTGTGAGCTGTCGGCATCCCCATGTGACATAACGACCCACTTGTACGCTGTGAGAAAGAGGCAGAGTAAAGGGGGAGGGGATAAACACAGAGGAAAGATGCAGAGAAGCAAAGGAAGACAAAGGGAAAATTTTGAAGCACCAGTACACTCCCCATATCTCGGCCGTGAGAAAAAATAGCGTAGAAGCATTTTCTAGTTGGATTGAATCTGGGCACTCCTGTACTGGCCCATCCGTTCATCATGGCCGCAGCTTGTTGACCGCCGTGACTTTCAGAGGTACTGGTGGTTTAAGGGAAATTTAAGGAGAGTGGAATAAAATGAAAGCATAGGAGTGTCCATGACAGGCCGAGGTCGGCCAGTTACGAATGGTGAATGGATAAAGTGCCCCCCCCCCCGGGCATGGCGAAGTTAATGAACTGGAATCACACAAACGAACCTCGATTTTCGGAAGGGCGCTGGTAATTAATAACGTGGTGCTGGGCGCTGCTGGCCTCACTATGGAATAGCTCCGTCCTCTCGCCCCTGAGCGAGACGGCGCTGAAAGCACTGAAAAAGCAGATTGCTGCCTTCCTGTGGCGAGGGGATAGTGAAAATAAGCATGTAATTAGTAGGGTGGTTAGGGATCTCGCGGGTTCAGGGGCATTTGTAGGACTTCAACAGGCTATTCCCATACCTTTCGAATAACAGTAAGTTTTCTCAGATGGCTTTTCAGCCAAGCAGGGTAACAGGTAAGAGAGGGATCGAGGATAGTGAGAGAAAGACACCACGCATCCTACTAGTGAAGGGGCCAGCTGGTAGGATAGAAATGGGGCATAGCAGCAGTAGAGATGGTGGCTTTGCTGCAGTAAGCCTTGCTGGAGTGAGGTAAGAGGACTGATAGTGGATCCTCGAGGGGTTTCCGAACTTTGTCTGACTCTGAAGTTTCCCGCAAAAAGGTCTGGAATAGTTCTATAATTCTTAGTAGGCTCCTAGTCTTATTTTCACGGAATTTTCTGAATTTTCTGATGATTTTTCTGAATGTGTCCGTTATGGGACGCTGGGCCCGGTTCCCAGTTTGTGCCAATTTGTGAGGATATGGTTGGTATCTATGGGACGCTGGACCCGGTTTCCAGCAGGTGCTGCTCCCCACCAATAGAAGGAGCTTGTGTTTTCAAAAAAAAAAAAAAAAAAAAAGGGTGGCTTGGGACTCCATCATCCAGCCCAGGGCTCGAGGGGGACTGGGTATCTTTGATCCCTGCACCCAGATTATATCACTCTTATTTGACACCAATCTCACCTGGAGACCGCTTGCCCTGGCACAGATAGCACAAATGGCCCCAGAGGCCCCCACCACAACTGATCCAACAATCTGGCTAGAGGACCGCTATTGGAGGATACCACGCAGGGCCTGTGCGATGGATGCAGCGAACCCGGCCTTATAGGGGGATGCGACCCTTGATGATTTCTGGTGGAGACTAGTGAACACATGGCGGAAACTTCCCCCTCCAGACCGACCGGCTCCGGAACGATGGGAGGAGGTGGTAAGGCAGCCCCTTTTTGGTAACGGGTGGATTACTGACAGGAATAGAAGGGTCATATGCAGCAGCTCTGACACCCCATGGAAAGGATGGTATGGGGTGCTACGGGTGGGGGATTTATGGGACAGTGAGACACGGGACTGGAATACAGCGGACCAAATGAGAAGGAAACTGCGTTACTGTCATCATACACAGGCCACAACGGAAGAGCTGATAGATGCTTTACCGCTAGCCTGGTTCCTCATCCTACGCAAGGGACGGACGGTGGAGGAAGGGGACTGGGTAGCTCGAAAAGGGAACCCAACACGAGTGGGCCTCATCCATATGGAGCAACAAGAGGATGTGCTAATAGAACACTACTCCTTGGGCAGAATGGGTCTAATAACAGGGAGCAGGGACCCTTTCAAATGGATTGAAAAGGAGGGGCGCCACCGAGTTAGGATACTGGAGGAAGGGACAAAACGCCGGGCTTTCCAGCCTGAGCTGTCGACTGCCAAGTTGCCACTTGACCCTGCAGAGTGGCAATGGCATGTGGCTACGCGCACTCGCCTTGTAGCCCCGAAAACCAAACACCTCTCTAAACTCACCGTCAAAGCCACCTATCGGATGCAGAGAGTGAAGCGGATCTTAAAGGACGTGGTGAATGATAGGTGGCAGAGGCACATAAATGTTGATCGTCAGGCAGTCAAGCCTATTCACTGGTTCCACGAGGCTACTCGTAAACCCACAAAGATCACATAGTTAGTCCTTACGTGAAGGTGGTGGGACTGAATCTGGCGGCAGATTTTCCCAGGCACGACCTGGCCGTGGAAGTGGAGGGCCATCTTGGCAGGACACACACCAGCCTTGCTCCAGGATACCTTTACAGGGAACATGTACTGGGTTGGAAGGAGGGCAATTATGTGGGCCCTCTGGCGGCAGCGATGTGTCCTGACAATGGAAGGGGTGTGAGTGCCTCCGGAGGAGGTGAGGGAACATTTCACGCAACATGTGCAGGCGGCACTGGAACAGCGAAAACAAAAGAAATTGCAGCAGGTGAGGCAGACGTTGGACGCACTCGATAACGAACAGGATATTACTAAATGAATAACACAGTACAGGGTTGAATTATTTTCCCGAATCAGTGCTTTGGCACGGAATGAGTGGGAGGGGACAACGGTTGTTGGATAGCAGATGTGGTATGGATAAGCAAGGAGGCCAGGAGCAAGGGGAACAATCAGCAGAATCAGCAGGATCGGGGGGAGAAAGCTCACAGTGATTACCGATTGCGTTTTAAGGAGTGGACATCCGTCGACCCTAGCATTGTGTGCTAAAATCTTGTTTTTTCTCTGAGATGATGGGACGTTGAACCCGGTTTCCAGCTGTAGATGGGTTGATGGATAGTTGGCAGGTCTGGTTGTTTTTTCTTGGTTGGTCTTCTGCTAATGAAGGCTGTTTTTTTGGCGCCCTGGTGATGGATGAAGAGGCAGTCTACCCGGAAAGAGGGGCATCATGGGACGCTGGACCTGGTTTCCAGCCTAGTGGAATTTTCTCACAGACATCTTAGCCTGAGCCAAATAATGGCCCCGGAACCAGACAACAACATTCTCTAATATCTTCAAATATTTTCGTAAGGGACATTGGGCCCGATTCCCAGGACGTGCTGCTCCCCACGAATAGATTGGAGCCTTGTTTGAAAAAAAAAAAAAAAAAAAAAAAAAGATGAAAGCATAAGAAAGGATAAGAAAGGACTAAGGAATCAGATTGGCCTTGACGACAGAGCAGATATACATTGTCAGGATTCTCAATATGACAACTGCCATGATGGCTGGCATTGAGCATGCCCACAAAACACTCCCATCAAATGGCATGTCGATTGCAGGCAAATATGAAGGAAGAATGGGCACCACAAAAGACCGTGCATTCAGCAGTATCACGCCCATGGTCGCAAAATGGACATGTAGTGTCCGTATGTGGAGGGCGCCTGCGGTCAGAAATGGAGGGACAATCCTTTGCACACATGGATGTAGGAACCGTGTCGTTTTAGTCATTGTGACAGAGACGATGGCAGCTACAGCCGAGTGTAACAATGTTTATATTTGTGCAAAGGAGAAGGCCGCAGAATGTTGATACATTGGTCTAGCTGCAGCACAGGGGCAGAGGAATGATCTTTGATGACATAATAGAGATTGCGGACAGTTTGGTGTAGCAAGAAAACAACATCAAAAACATGAAGCAGCTCCAATATGGTCATAGGGCAGTCTCCACTAGCAAGCCATGTGAAGCTCCAGCACTCAACCTACAGGGGATATATTGACAGAGAGAGGATGGGGGGCCCCTAAGGGGTCTCGTTTCTTCAGTTCTCRAATATGGCAGCCGGTTCCACACATACCCAGGGTGCTGGCCCTGCCGTCAACAGGGAAAGGAGGGGCTCCAAGACATTCGAGGGATCAGAGTCGATAAGGAAAGGAACAGGGAACCTGTGGCGCAAGATGGTAGGACCAGAAAGGCGATGCAAAGGAGGGAGGTGACGACAACAAAACTGAGACTATAGTCTCAGAAGGATAGACAACTCTCCCAGTTTTCTTGTTGCATTGAGTCATATTTGACAGACCCAGAATGAGGTCTGAGAGGAAAACCAGGGCAGGGCACTCCAAAAGGAGCAATCAATGCTGGTCAGGGGTCCTTTGGCCGTACGGAAGGAAGCGTGTGTCTGTAATTATGATGTATTATTTTTTTGACTTTCCGGTGGAATAGGAACCGGACTGATGCTCCCCAGAATGGAAAAGGAGCCGGGGCCATAAGGTCCTGTTAAAAAAAAANAGAGATAGAAATCAATAATAACATCAATCATGGCATGCACCATGGTGCTGTTATATATTGTCACATAACTACAAACTAAAAGAGCGCACTTTGCGGAACAAAGAATAAAAGCAAAAAACGGGCACAGTGATAACATGCAAAAATAAAAATAAAAACAAAAAGAAAAAACAAGGGCAGATWGAAACCATTAAATTTCTCATTCTTCTTTGAACTCCACCTCCACTGTGCCTCTCACGTGCAAGGCTCGCCACGTTGATGAAGTTGAGTGCGAGCTGCCCCCATCCCCGCAGCCTCCTGATGAGTCGGTGAAACTCCGATGAAACAATGTGTTACAGCCCCTCATTTGTTGTCCACTTCTCCCTCTCTGCCTATGGTTTACCGGGCAGTTTTGTGCGACGAGATATATCACGACTTCGCTAGCTCACTGCTACGGTTTTCTTCGGTCAGGTTGAATGACAGTCAGGGGGGGGGCATCACTACACGGCTATGTTGTGCCTTTAGTGTCAGCGGTGTATTTGGAGAGTATTTTCTGGCTGTTACAGACCTTCTTGATTTCTTGGGTGTTTTTTTGCTCGCTTATGATGGAGTGTGAAACTGTAGTCTGTAGAGTTTTCCGTCTGGTGTGGGTGAGTGATAGTCTGCTTGACTTTTGTCACAGGTACCTTGAGGGTTGTGGTTGGTCCCCACCTCCTCAGAGGGGAATCAGTTGGCGGGGAGTCGTTGATGCTTAACCGCAACCGGGGTTAAGGTGAATTGTCACTTACAATATCATCGGTTAGAGAACTCTGCAGACTGTAGAGGGTTTGGTTAAGCCTCCCGACGAATAGTTGAAACTCCGGCGAAATGGTATGTCACAGACCCTCCTTTGTTGTCCTCTTCTCCTTCTCTACATACTACGGTTCACTCGACAGTTCTCTATGACAATTCGTTTGTTGTTCTCTTCACCCTTTCTGACTACGGTTGACTAGTCAGTTCTCTATAGCGATATGGGTGTAGTAGAAAACTGTAGAACTACCCGGTACACCGTAGCCAGAGAGTGAGAAGAAAACAACAAACGAGGCAGGCTGTTTCGTCGAAGTTTCTCCTCCTCGTTATATGCCCAAGAAAAAGAACTTGAGTCAAATTGAATGCATAAGTCGATCAAAGTCATTTTGTGACCTATCGTCTTCACCGGAATATAACTTACGCTCATTATTGCTGTATCTAGACTCGAAGTTGCCCTAAATTCAACTGTAATGACCATACGTTGTATTCGGATGACGGCGGTAGTAGACTGGGCCTTCCAGACTGAACAGGCCCGGGTCAGTGAAAAATTTTGGTTTTTGGTTTGACAAAGTAAGGTCTGTGGTACTCATGGTATAACTTTAACCCATTCAAATGAACATTCGTCATATTGTTGAACATTCGTCATATTGTCGATTTGTTGGTGGACGACAAATGTTTTCGAAGAACTCGACTCACAACTCTCACATTGGAAAGGTCCCATATCCCTTCTCAATTGAAAAATAAATAAATGAATGAATAAAAATTGAAAAAGAAAAGAAGTTTTAACTTTTAAACCACCCATACTTTTCCGAACTGTTGCTGTAGTGCCAGAACTGTTTGTCATATGAATGAATTTGTCCTCGCGCGTACATCCTGTCTGTAAATGCACCCCACTCTGGGGAAGTACTGGTGGTTTAACCATAAGCGTAGAGATATACTGTCTTCGCTCGAATAGAAAGCATGGTTGCAAAAGCTGTATTTGGAACAACTTTCCGTCCAGATACGGGGAGAATGACCGTACGTTCTATTAAGGGGAAGACGGTAGGGAGCACTCGGTGTGTGTGTTTATTATCTGTCGGTCTCTCGACCTAGTAGAGAAGCAATTAATAGCTGGCAGCTTTAAAGAATCACAAACTGGGTGGCATTGGCTATATAATATATATTATCGGCAATTTATCGTATCATCATAGCTTTTAGTTGTGAGGTTAAGTCGACTCAGCACAGGGATGTTGTGTAGAGCATACCATCTTTTTTACCATCCATCGAGGCCTCAGTGTCACAGAATTCCGTCTCTCTAGCATCTGCTCAGAATGTACACAGAAGAACAAAGGAATTTTCCACGTTGTTTTCACTCGTTAGTGTTGTCCTTAGATTAGAATGCACGCAGCCGAACAAAGGAATTTGATTATCTGAACCATTGCGTGCATAAGATCGTGTGATCCATAGAAAACATGCGATGTTGGAAATGCAGAGGCGTTCTCACTACCGTCTTCACTCGAATAGAAAACGCCCGGTCATTATGGCTGTATCTAGACTCGAAATTGTACCAGATACGGCTATAGTGAACGGGCGTTCTATTCGGCTGAAGACGGTAGTTTGGCTTTCTTCCTTGAGCGAACAGAGAAGAACAAATTCACTTAAGTTTGTACGACAATTCATGCCTAGAACTTACAATGATTTATTCCTAGAACGTACACAAAAGAACAACGGAAGATGCGGCATCGTTATCCGTGCACAGGCCTTCTTCCCCCAAATACATCGTACGGTCATTACAGTTGTATTTGGACTGAAATATACGCCCAATACAGTCGCTATAGCTACGTTTCGACTGAAAGATACCCCAAATACAGTTATAATGACCGTACGTTGTTGTATTCGGGGGAAGAAGGTAGTCTTCATCACCAGCGCGGTATGATTCAACTCTGTTTTCTATACCTGATTCTTAGCATGAACAAGATCTGTTTTTTGCACCTGATTCTTAGTATGAACAAGATCTGTTTTCTGTACCAGATTAGAATAGATCGCAGTGCTGCAAGACCGTCACTCCCAAGTTTCAAATACAGTTCTGGCATACAATTGGTTGCATGAGTTGGCCAACCAGCAATTCTGTGGACCTATTGGAGACCTGGTTCAGGAGTTTGAACAGGTCTTACAGATTCCAGGATTGGACCTATCGGAGACCTGGTTCCGGAGTTTGAACCATGCCGTGGACCTATTGGGGACCTGGTCTGGGAGTTTTAACAGGTTTTACAGATTCCAGGATTGGAGGTATGGAAGAAACCGGCTATGTGGTGCTTTCATGAGCCAGTCCCGCAGAAGTTTGGCAGTCGATTGGGCCGGACTGGGAACACTTACGGGACCATGACAGCTGCAACCATGCAGTTGGAACAGGCCCTGAAAACACCTGGGGTACCAACACCCAAGCATCAAAGTCGTGAAGCAGGAGCCTTTGCCCACACATGTAGAGTGAGAATAGGTAGGAGGAAGAAGGCTTGTGCTGAAGCCAGACTAAGGCTGGCCCATGGCGATGGGTCAGACGGCAGCGGCCATGTGGATGGGAGGGGTGATCACAGATTCACCTTCCTGTGCAATTATGAGGAGCAAGCTAGACCACAGGTAGTGCAGGTTCGACCCTTCTTTGCTGCACTGCGGAAAGTAATCCAGGCGTGATAGGGAGGGACGTGGCAGGACCGACAATAGCCGAAGAACGAACAAGGACAGCAGCGAACGGGGCACGGTGATGAAGAGAGCTCAGGAGAGACAACAGATGCCATTGACACAAACCTGATGATAGGAGAAAACTGAAAACAGCAGATGTACAACATGCAGCCATAGGGGACAATTTTTTTTTTTTTTTTTTTTTTTTTTTTTTTTTTTGAGAAGCTGGTAGGAGCAGACCTCTCAAGCTGCTCTCGGGGAGGCTCCATCTATTAGTGGGGAGCTGCACCTGCCGGGAAACGGGCCCAGCGTCCCTTTTTACAATTTTTTTGAGAACAAAAGACATTGTGTCCAGAGGAGGGAAGGGGGGTCCAGCACAGTCCGACAATCGGGCCTTCAAGCTGCGCACTCCCGGTGCTACTCTCCCAAGTTGTTTATCTACCCTCAGGCGGCAACCCCCCTGACCCCGGGGACACTTTTCTAGGTAAGATGTCCCAAGCAATTTTGGTATGACAAAAGAGAGGGGGCCAGTGGGGGTTGAATCAGATGTAGTCAAAGTTATCTTCCGGTTGATTGAGAGACTTAGCTCTTGTGGCCGAGGGTGCTGGTTCGCTTCCGTGCGTGCATGAGTTGAGTTGACCTAAGCCCAGTAAGTACGGATTGAAACTACCACCGAGGCCCAGTACTGCATGGAGCAGGCGCCATGTTCTCTCTTAACCTCATTTAGCCTAAGGCCTAGACTGCAACAGCGATGAACACGAAGAGGAAGGCAGAGGATGACACAGTCCAGGTTGAAAAGAAGACTTACCTTCTTCCCCCGAATACAACGTACGGTCATTAAAGCTGTATCTGGGGTATCTTTCAGTCTAAATACATCTATAATGACCGTTCGTTGTATCGGGGGAAGAAGGTAGCTCTTGTGGCCGAGGGTGCTGGTTCGCTTCCTTGCGTGCACGAGTTGGCCTAAGCCCAGACAGTACGGATCCAAACTACCGAGGAGGCTAAGTACTGCATGGAGCAGGGAGCCATGTTCTCTCCCAACGTCAGTTGGCCTAGACTGCAACGATCATGAACAAGAAGAGGAAGGCAGAGGATAACACAACATTTATGCCTGACAGTGTGTTGTCCCTCTGCCAGAGCATGCACATGATAGGATGATAGGGGCAAATTTTACGTAGTCCAGGACTCTATTATGGATCAGAAGCCGATGCACGAGCATCTTGGCAGGGATTAAACAATGTATGTGTATACGCATTCGTCGCATTGTCATCCATCAAGCCTGGTGAACATGTACAAGAGATCAGTAAGGAGAAACAGGTGACCCTGATCAACACCGTGGTCAACAGGATAGTATTGGTCAACACGATAGTTGACCACGGTGTTGATCAGGATAGTTGACTGCACCTGGTCATGATGGACTACAGCTCTGCACATCTCTCTGTGAACAGCATTCATAGACTGCACCTGGTCATATGCAGAGGAACATTATTCATAGACTGCACCTGGTCATATGCAGAGGACAGCATTCATAGACTGCACCTGGTCATATGCAGAGGAACAACATTCCTAGATTGCACCTGGTCATACATATGCAGATGCTCAGCATTTTAAACCCCGTAGAGGTCATTGTTGTGAATGGGGTGTGATCCATATCTCTCAATTCGTGAGAGACATCCTCGCAAGATTCGTGGAATAGGCGCAAGACCAGACCAGACCAGTGGACAATGTACATGGCCGTTGTTTTGTCCACGTTGTATTGCATCCAATAGGTGCACTGAGGTCTTTTGCAAGTTTGAAAGGCCCTTACACCGGTTCAGGTCTCTCTCCCCAAGAACAAGAAAAAGCAGGAAACGAAAATCTGTGAAGAAAGTTCAAGTAACCATCATCATGACAAGATCATACTTCAAAAAAAAACGAAAGACCAAAAGAGGATCACACTTACTTTTGTCTCTGCAGACCGCAGAACGGCTTTTGTCTGCAACCAAAGCCAATGCACAACTCAGAGAAAAAAAGACACAAGGACATACACCACAGAGAGACAAAGAACAAGGTTGACCAAACCCACACACCACCCCCCCCCYCCCCCGGCCCCCCCACAAAAAAAAAAAAGCCACACACACACACACAAACAAGCAGATACACACACATAAATAAGCGGACGGATGCACTTCTCAATCAGATGACACAAATGCTGGAGCCCTTTTTTCCTTTGGGGGGCGAGGGGCGGAGGAAGTGCCGTTGTATGTATATCTTTTTTTTTTTTTTTTTAAATGAACTTCCCGTGCGGGTGCTGGGAGTATAACATGGTTTGTACTTGTGTCTCAACACTGATCCATCAAGGGAGGGGGAAAAAAAATAGAAACAAAAAGAAAGAGAACCCTTCCACACACGGTCTCACAGTCAGGCAGGCCATTTACCAGCACGCTATGCTCTACAGCTGTACGTCAAAGCTTACACCAGCTTGAGGTGACCTACCCTCTAAAAGACTGGAGCGTCTTTTGTCAGCACGTTTTGGCGTAAGGAGTAATGGTGACCTGCTAGAGAAGGTGATAGCCCTGTATATTTTGTCCGATCTCCGTTACTCCTTAGGCCATTTAGGGTTTAGGGTTTAGGGTTGTGTTAATTTGGACTGGTCAGGTACGTTGGATGGGTCAAAGATGACTGGCACTGCAGACGTACAGGTGCATTATGAGCAGGCCGGGCTATTATTTATATGTCCCGTCGCAACCTGAGGAGGCCCTTCAGACTCATTTGAACACACAAGTTTGTCCTCACTTGGGCATATGCAGCTTCCCTTGCTCTTTAGACTGCAATCTGTCTAGTATCCCACCTCTACAACAACCTGAGCTTCCTTAAAAGAAGAAGAAGAAGAAGAAGAAGAAGAAGAAGAAGAAGAAGAAGAAGAAGAAGAAGAAGAAGAAGAAGAAGCTCAGCGTAGCATAGGGTTCCATTGGTTGGCAATCATCCTTCCTTGCTCATCCACTGATGTGCTGCAATAATGTGTGGCATTGGCGCTTTTTTTCCTCCTTTCCGATCCATTTTGCTGCAGGATGACTGTTGAGCGATGGTGGCATTGCATGAGTTCTTATGTTTCTGACCTTTGCAGTGCCTGCTTCACATTTTTGTACCATAATGCTATAGTGCAAAGCCACGAAAATCACAACTCTGCCCTGGATGCTGCAAAAAATGTAGTGATGATGACAACTGCCCACTAGTAGTCTTACTAAATCTTTTCTCTCTCTCTCTCTCTCTCTCTCTCTCTCTCTCTCTCTCTCTCTCTCTCT